ATTAATTGTAAGCCACAACAATACCTACTGATTTATGGCACCAAAATAAAATTGGAAAATTAAGCTTTACTACAGCTGATTGGCTATATTACTTTATTCTGTGTAATACTTATTATAGTACCATATAGGTGTAATAGTTGGTAGTTCCTGTTCAGAGGGCATTAAATTATGTTCAAGATTCACAGCATTAGAACATTTACGTTATGAGTGTTGAATTTTGGGCTTAACAATTAGTAAAAGTTATCAATAATCCAGTTTTGTATTTTCAACACCAATGGCAATTGGGTAAGATTAAATTTAGGAAAAGATAATTTTTGTTACAATCAATTGATTGCCATCTGCCCTTCTCGTTTAATATAGATTAAATCATTGAATCTTGAACTTTGAAGAATGGAAAAATATGAAAGCAATAAAAAAGTTCATTTTTTTTTTATTAGTTTTGGCTTTATACCTTTCTGCTATTCTATATAGAGCTAGCAGATAGTCTTATAGATAGTAAATCTAGTGCCTAACATTTAATTTTGACTTTTATATAATTTAATTTTATCTGTAATAAATGGCAAAATAATTTCATTTTGGTCGTCTAGAATTAATTGTGACTATACACATTTTCTGCTGTTTTTTTCACACTAATTTACAAACCGTGTATTATTATATTTTAAACGATCGTATTATAATTAACTATTTTAATTTTAATTTACAATTCAACAATATCATTGAATCTAATACTAATAATATATTATTTTTATAAATTATGATGAAAATATTAATGTTATAACATCATATTAGCTGCAGAAAAGGGGCCAAATATAGGCAATATAATATACGGATATGAAAAATTCTTCCTGCGAAGATCCATTCCTGTTAACGGCATCCGGGCAGCGCCATCTACAAACGTAGTTTAGAACTTTGGCGGATGAACTGCAATGCCACCAACGATTTTTGTTTTGTAAATGAACATTTCATTTAATTTTTATCGTAATATCATTGATTATAGAATAGAATCCATTCTATAATCAATGGTAATATCAAACATAGATAAAGAAGTTTTGAACATTAATTATTAATGATAAACGTTGTCGATGAAACTGGTGCCTGTTAGATTCGGCGACACAATAATTGCTGTAATAATACATGAAAATAATATATTACAAAATTTCGGCGAACATGACAACGTCCAAATTAAAAATGTCCCATGCTCAATCGTGTTTTATCTCCTTAACTTGAACTATGGCAAACCCCGTTGTACACGTCTTGTACCAAACGCATTGGTGCAACTAGGGAGATGCTTTGGGTCTCTAGCACCCTAAAAAAATCGTTTAAAATGTCAGTTCCCATCGAGTCGTGAAAAAAAACTTAAACTTGGCTTCCGCTCGTCCTAACGTCAAGTCGCCCCGATCACTACACGGTTGACGGGTAAGAAAACCAAAATTTTATATCTCGCCATAATATGTCTTATTAGACATAATTTTTAATGTTCTTATGAAACGTTATAATTTGATCGCAATAATCTAATTTACCGGTTATAATTTGTTCAGATATCTGATATACTCTTACCCACTTATATAGTTTTACCTGATTAATAAATAATAAGAAATAAATTGTGTACAGAATAATAAACCTGATGTCTTAGCCTTATGGTACAAGACATGAGACGGCTGTTAAAATGTAAAAAGCGTACACACCATTATCATAATTGTTTTAATTGAATAAACAGTGTTTTTTTGTACACTGGTTATTACCGTTTCTGATGTGCTATTCCTAATTGGATTTGGGCTAGCTATGTTTCATCTATAATGGTCTAAATTGTTGGATGTGTTTTCCCCACTAAAGTTTACAATAAATAAAGCTCAGGGCGTTGGCCAGTTCGACATTGTAAGTATGAGCATCTTCTTGCCAGTTAATATGTTGAATTATTTAATTTCGATTAGTAAAACTTGGACTCAAAATAAACTAGTCGAATGGTGTATCTTGTCAAGTTTGAAATTATTTATTGATCTGAATATTTTATACCTTTTCATACATTGAAATTGAATTATTGTTATTTGTGGAGCATTTTTAAGAAAATACAGTTCAATTTAAACAATTATTCAAATTGATTTGCAAATTAATGAAATCCCAACTTATCCTGTTCTTTCATCAACAGTTCACCTGATGCTGGCACACAAAACATTAGGGAGTTCAAGTTGAAGGATTGATCACCTTCCAAAAATTATTAGAGAAATATTAAATTAAGAACCGTTAGAACAAAGTGAACAATACAAGAACAGAATAAAAGCACAAACATTAATAACCAGCGTTGTGAGTCTTATATAAGTTTATCATATCTCCTTTGGAGCTATTTATTCCATTGTATATAAATTGATTGTAGATGTATATATTCAAACATAAAGCATTAAGTCATTAATAAAAATAAAACATAATTTAAGATAACATTTTTTTTTTCATTTAAGGCATAAGGAATACACAATATACAGTAAAATAAATTTTTGGTGTTTAATTTAAATAACATAAATATTTAATTAATAACTGGGAATTATGAAAAAATATGAAATTTTTAAATTATGAATAAAGTTTAAATGTTGAATAAAATAATAGAAAAACAATTGTGAATAATTTTATATACAAACAAAAACTATAATTTCTTATGAATTGAATTATTGTTGTTTTAGATTTTGAATAAATAAGCGTTTATTTGTTATTTAATAAGTCATTCCATGTCCGTAAAAGAAAGAAATATAAAAGAATAGAAATAAATGACAAATTTTGAAGACGAAATAAGTGATCCTGAACAATTTAACCGAGAAGTAGCACAGATATTTTATAAATACAATGATTGATGGAAATAATAAATATAAAATAAATATTTTAAACATATGATAATTAACTAAGATAGGGTATAGATATTTTAAAGAATTTAAATAATTGATTGAGATAAAACTAACATTATTTAAAATTTCATATTATTTATTTATGCAATTGCATTAATAATAAATTTTAATTTAATAAGTTCCTTAAAAAATTTGTCACCTTAGACTCGAGCCTCACAAGCCTAAGTCTTGTCCTGGATGACTACGCCTTTTGGAAATTCCAGGAGCAACAAAGGTACACTAGACTGMCACTGTAGACACACCTATGATAAAGTTAAAAGTGTATCAATTTTAAGACAAAAGTATGACAATCTGTATCTTTATTTAATAGTTATAATAATTGTTTAAATTATACATAGTTAAGGTGGGTGTACATTATGGGTCCACAAAAATTTCTTCACCAAATCAATATTTCATATCATATAAAAACCCTCAAGAATATGTATAATAATTGAATATTTTATTTTATCAAATGTTATTACCAGACAGCTTTTTGATAGTTTTGTACAAATTAAATTAAATTTAACATAAAATATAAATTCAAAMATATCCATTCAAAAAAATAGTGAGGATAAATTTAAATTCTTATCATATACTTAAATATTATTTTAATTTTAATTATTTAATCGTACTAGAATGTAAAAAATTTATTTTGAAATGAGTAATTAATTGTTTGCAATTATAATGTCAAATTTAAGTAGGTATCATTTAAATTTAGAACTTTGAACTACCAACTTCATTTTGTTGATTGTTCTCACTCAAAAATGAAAATAAATAAAAATTGGTTATTATTGATACTTTAATATTAATAAGTAATTGGTAATGTATATTTAAAAATAAAGGTTAATAACTTGTTTTAATCAAAAAGAAAATAGCATAATAATTATCAAAAATGAACTTAAAATGAGACAAATAAATGTTGAATTATTTATTAAGAGGATGTGATACCCGCATATGTGTAACATGGTAAAATTCAAACTTAGTAGAACATAAAATGTAGCTCAGTGAGTTTAAAATTTAGAGTAAATTGACCTCTAATTAAAATTTAAGGGAAGATTATTATCTAGACAACATCATAGGCTTTTTATTATATTTTAATTTTGAAGCAAATTATGAGTATTTAAGATGTAAAAACTATTTACAATTTTAAATACTCGTCTTGTTTCAAAATTTAAGTTTAAAAAGCCTATGATGTTGACTAGATAATAATCTTACCTTTAAATTATATTAGAAGTCAATTCACTTTAAAGTTTAAACTAACAGAGCTACAAGTGATATGCAGAGCACAAATTTGCTATATTATGCACTTGTAAGATTGAGATAACACATGTGGGTATAACATCCTCTTAAGAACTGCAGACTGCAGTTTTTGTAGTGCACAGTTTGGGAAGAACCGCTGCTTTACAAAACTGACACATACAGATATAGTATAATAATACTTATGAGATAATACAGGTTTTTTTTTATCATGAACCACTCATTATTTCAAAAAGTATCAATGTTTTTGAAATTTTTTTTACAAAGTTTCATGTTGTTAATAAAAACAATGTTTTTATTAAAAAATTATGTTTTTAATATTTTTTTTATCCTTATAATTTTTTAATTTTTTTGCTTTTTTTAATGACAACCTAGAGTTTTAATTTCATATTCCAAAGCAGAATATTTTTCTAAGTATTTTGATACGTAAAAATTGAATTTTGGACTAGTAGTTTATGAGACATGAGTTATAAGTATTTAAAGTTTAGATTGGCAGAGTGAAGTGGTACGGGGTCACGCCACAAAATGTTTGTCCACTACTCCACTTCTCTAAACTTTAAATACCTATAACTCATAAACTACTCGTCCAAAATTCGATTTTTATGTATCAAAATACTTAAAAAATTAAAAAATATTCTGCTTTGGAATATGAAATGAAAACTCTAGGTTGTAATTCAAAAAAGTAAAAAATTAAAAAATTAGAAGGATATAAAATATTTAAAAATATAATTTTTTAATAAAAACGTTGTTTTTTTAACAACATGAAACTTTGTAAAAAAATATTTTCAAAAACATTGATACTATTTGTAATAATGAGTGGTTCACGATAAAAGAATCACCCTGAATCACCCTGTATCACGATAAAAGAATCACCCTGTAGATATATCGGAATCTGTGACACACTTTAGAAGCAAGGGTTCAAGAAGTACCGGGGTGATCGGTCCCTTTAAGCGCCTGATGCGTCCGTTTCTGAATGTGATTAATTCTCTTTGACGTATAACAGCTGCGTAACCACAAAACTGCTCACTGTCCCACATACAACGATGGTCGGGCTTTGACACCAAACAATCCATGCGCCCATTTCCTGAACTTTCTAAGCAAGTTCCGCCCAKCCACGGAGAGCCATGTTTCCATGCATATACTAAACAATTTCGTTGTTGGATAAAAAAAGATTTATCAAAAAATATCGAATCGCTTTTGATCTCTAAATATAATAGCATTTGGATCGCTAAAGACATGCACATACCTTCAGACCACGGACACCCATGTTCATGAAGATATTTTAAATACCTCAAGTTGCCAAGCTTTACAGCCTCATTAATAGGGTCCGACGTTATCATGGGGCACCCATTCTCTACAACATACCTGAGGCATTCCATATCGCTGCTTCGGACGGCTGCAGTGCAAGTTGTTATGTCCCAAGGACATCCGTGGTCTCGGGCATACATTAAACAATCCAGGTTTCCTTCCTGAGCTGCATTGGAACACGTTTTAACAGACCACGGGGCTCCGTGTTCATGGAGATATTGGAACATTGTTAGTGGGCCCGTCAAGGCTACCATTTCTAATATTACTGAATTTAAAGGGCATCCGTTATCGACCGCATACCTCAAGATCTCAAAGCTGTCAATCAAGAGGGCCGCTAGGACCGTCGATACGTCCCACGGACATTGGTTGTCACGAGCATACTTTAAGCATTCTAGTTGGCCGTTAATGGCCGCAGAAGTGCATGTATTTATGGACCACGGGCATTGTTTAAGATGTAGGTATTTCAACATCGGCAGGTTTCCTGTACTTGCAGCCGCTTCCATAGGATTTGGACTATCTAAAAGGCATCCGTTTTCTACAGCAAAACGCAGACAGTCAAATTTATCGCCTAGGACAGCCAAAACACATGTTAAACCATCCCACAAACCCCCCTTTTGGTGGGCATACTCCAGGCACTCCAATTGTCCGAAATATGCGGCTAAGGTACACACACCAATGGAGTCATGGGGGATGTCGTACACATAGTTTGGCATATTAGGTGTGGAAGACAAGTGATAATAATTGTGCAGTCCCAACGGATAGCCCATCTCAACAACAATCTTCAGACAATCGATATGTCCGTGTTTAACGGCTGAATTGAGTAACAATTTAAAATAATGTGGTTCAACATAACCTTTGTTTATACATTTTTCGTACATACCATGCCAGTCACCGAACTCGTCGAATACGCCGTCCGCCGAGTTCGATTGTATTATTTTAATTACTCTTATGCAGCAACGTCTTAGGTCTAAATTCGGAATATCCAGATTTCTGATACTGTTGTACATTAGCGGCGTACAAGACATCAACGCTAATMTGTACAAGCTGTAAACTGTACTCGTACCGTTTTGGACTACCGCCATAGTGTGTGACAACTGACAAACTGACAAAGTGACAACACGGTCGTGGACTGTACAATAAAAATGGCGGCACGTGTGTACTGTAAACGAACGAACGGAAAACGATGTTATATAAAATATAAAAACAACAGTAGTCGAACGGCGTTGATGACGACGAATACTTACCAATATTATCACCGCGTGCTGATGCAAAGATCTAGAGTTTGGACGAAAACACAAAACAGTATAAATGAAAAATGTTGTAAAAACTTAAATGTAAAATCGTAAGATTGATTGTGATTTGTGAATGCGAAATTGCGAACCGAGCGGGCCAACGGGGGACAGATTTTCTAAAAAATGCTCGGCGTCGTACTGGAATTAACCTTAAAAATGTTGTTTATATAAATACGTTACAGGCATGGTTTAAGATAGAATGGTTACAAGTTACAACTGGTTAGTGGTTAGGCGACGAGGTCTGATATTTCGGCGGTAGAGTTTCTTATCAAAAATATGAAAAACTCGCTGCCCCGTGGCGCGATCTCAGATCTACTAAATTACCACGATACTCTTGATATTCTTTAAATGTATTAAATAATAATAATAATTAATACTATATTATAATAATTAATTATTATTATAAAGTACCTACTTCATAATACTTTATGATTAAAAACGTATAAGAACTTTACAATGTAATTTTTTTTAACAAATGTCAATTTTATACTGGCATTTAATAGCTTTCCAATCTAATACCAGCAGCTGCATCCTTTATCGCTTTTTATGTGTATGACTATTGCAGTAATGCTATATACTGTAGTATATTAACAGTTATACAGAATAAAATTATATATATTATTTTCTATTTTGTGGTATGGCTAAAATATAGTAAATAGTAAAATGCCGTCTGGGATCAACATTTAATGATTGGCCATGTTGGCACTGGAAGCGCTAGTATCCAGCACGATTAAAGGTATACAGGTTGGGAATCGAGCTAAGATAAAATGAAGCACAAACCTTCTAAATAAATCAGCTGTTCCRACTAATCACTAGCGCTCGGTCACTTCCCAGTGTCAAAAATTATTACTAATTTGTCATAAAATACAAACACGATTAAAGATATACCATATCTTTAATCGTGGTTATAACTTATAAAGTTATAAATATTAAATAATGAAATAAATCAAATTCATAAAACCATATGAAACTAAATTTCATTTTATTTTATTAAACAATATAATATGATAATATAATATATAAACAAAAAACAATTTGATTCTGTGACTCAACTTTTTACTAATTTCGATAACTTTTTTTTACTTTTGTTTTCCTTTTTATTTTTTTGGTTTTGAATGTAAGTAAACTGCCTCATACGCATTATTATGTAATAGGAATTCCGACGACGATTTTACGATTATCGGATTATATAGTGTAGGTAATAGTAATAGGTATCTTAAACACAAGTACACAATATATATTATTATATTATATTTATAAAATATATATWATATTATATAACAACAATTATTCATAATTTATAATTCGTTATGAAAAGCGCGGGATAATATCAATGATAATATAGTWGTATAGTACAAAATAATTGCGATAGTATCGCTAGTGGTTAGTTGGAACAGCTGATTTGCTCAGAAGATTTGGGCTTCAAGAAATGCAATTGTAAACATGGGCCGATTCCCAACCTGTATATCTTTAATCGTGGTATCCAGTGAGTAAAAACATTTATTTGATAAGAAACTTTCCCGCCGTAATGTACCGTGGGATTGTATGAATCGTTGCTCAACTTACCATTCTATCTTAAACCGTGGTTACAGGTTAGCCACATCGATGATAAAATAATAAATTATTTTTTCATGATTTTAATTTGTGACGAAACCCGCGAAAATCCAAAAAATAAAACAGTACTGGCTTAGCGTTAGCGTACAGTAAGCTGGTTTATGATGTCCAGATAAAACAATACACTTTCAAATTTAGCTGCTCATGAGTCATTACAAATTATTCTATTTCTATTGTGTATAATCATAAATGACAACATCATGGTTCATTAATTCTACAGTGAAAATATATATATATATATATATATGCATTAGATATCAATTTATGAAATAAAAATTAATAACATTCGACTGATTTTACAAAAAGAATTAAATACGATTTTAGAATTTTGTTCAATAGTTAGTTTAATTGAACTAATGAAATTTAATATGAAGGTTTGATGAATGTATTGAATTATTTGTTTGCAAAAACGAATTATTGTCTAACAAATCAATAATTGTCTTAATCATTTCAATTTATTACTTTGTAAAAAAAAAAAATATTTTTGGAAACTTAATTTGGATTATACCCATTCATGATTCAACATAAACATAATCATTATATATTATTACATAAAAAAATGTACATTATTTTGATCTTATTTTATAACATGTACAATGTACATATTATTATGTATATATTGTGTTTTAGCTTTTATTAATAAATATAGCTCAATGATTACAGTGTATTAAAATACTAAATAATAATATAAATTTATAATCTATAATACAAATTAGTTAGAGTACCTACTACTTAAATTCAATTTTTCAGTTAAAGATAGTTCAGATTCTGAGTTGGATGAAGACAACTATAGACAAGTAATTGAAGTAACAAATACAATTTTACTTGCCACAATATACTTTTAATCAATATCATATATTTTAGTAATTAGATAAAATAATGAAAATGAAAAATCTATCATTTATTATGTCAGGTAATTCATATTTATAAAAATAATTGTTTTAATTAATACTATTTATCAAATCATTGACATTTAGTTTTATTAAATTTTCTTCATTTCAGAAGACTTACAACTTAATCAGAAATATAGAAATATAGGATCTCCTCAAGTGCCCATTACCTACACAATAACTCAAAAATGTGTGTTTATAATTTATATTACAAATATTATAAAAAGTTGTTGTGAGGAATAAATTGTTAGTACTTATATTGCTATTGATCCTTTGTATTTTAATAATTATGCTTACATTCTTTAATCTGTTCATAAAAGGTAGGTACTTGATTAATGATTTTTGAAAACCAGAAATAATAAAATTGAATATTAGTCTGGCTACAGTTAATATAAATTTTAACAATGAAGGAAATTATTTATATCTTCAACCTGATAGACACAACTATGAAGCTGTGAAGTTAGATATGGATATGCCATATCTACTTAAGGTAAGGGATGAGAATAAAATTACCAGCTATGTCTCTGCCATCAGGCAAATCTATAACAAAGAAACAATTAGGTTTAAGAAACTCCCCTCCTCCCATATAGAAGTCTTAATTAATTGTGGATTCTATTACTGCTTGATATACTACTCTGATTGGTAAATGCATGCCAAGTAAGTTGATATAAATTTTTATCTTCAAATTCTAAAAACAAATTTGATTAATTAATATGTGTTTAAACAGTGAATATAATATAATACACTGGTATAGAATGAGTGAAAATGTGAAATTACAGCCTAAATATAACAGTTTATTATACTTAATAACAAGTAATAGTTTATGACAACTTAACTTGGGTTACCCATCCGTTATTCAACACATACGATGCGCATTATTTAATTATTATTACATCCAAAAATTTACATTATCTACATAATTTTGGTTATTTCTTATATTTTTTTAGTTAAATATTATACATTTATAATGTTTAATATAAAAATAGTTAGGGTACCTATCTACTACTTAAATTCAATTTTTTTAGTAGAATATATTTCAAATTCAGAGTTGGATGAAGATGAGTAAAAAATACAATTTTACCTATATACCACAATATACTTTTAATCGATATGTATATTAAATTTTAGTAATTGGAGAAAATAATGAAAATGAACAATCTATAATTTATTCTGAGGTTAGTAATTCATAGTTGTAAAGATAATATTGTTTTATTTATTATTATTTATTTAGCCATTGGCATTTAGTTTTAATGAAATTTCTTTGTTTCAGAAGACTAACAACTTAAATAAAAGTTTAAAAGATTTTATTAAATTAAAAATAATTGCCTATAACAAAATTGCCCTATCGATTTGTACCCTTCTCAACATTACTCCGAAATCTCATTAAGCCGTTAAGTACTTAAGTCGGTTCAACGGAGATAAAAAAAAAGACATCAGCACATGTCATATTATAATAATATTGTTACAATATATATTATTATGCGCCATGCAAGTTTGACAATTCACACTAAATTATGCACTACCGATATATAATATTATCGATATTCTTTTCTTTTTTTTCGGTTCGGTTCGCGCCGTTTTCTTTTGGGTCTACGAAACAGGACCACTTCCATCGTTGTCGCCTTCGAAGTGGTTTTCGCCGATCGGAATCTGAAGCTCCTTGCAGGCCTTGAACACGGCCGCCACTTTTTCTGGGTCGGAGAATCGTCGCATGCCTATCGGCTGGACGTCGGGTCGGCGACGCTGTTGCGACAACGGACCCACCAACTGCATCTGGATCGACGGGTTTTGCTCTCCCACTGTTTAAAAAACGCATCATTTATTATTATGAAAATAAAAAAAAATCCTTTACTCTATATTTTTTGCAGACGCCCTTCAGCGTTTTTAGTGTTTTTTTTTTTCATCATATTACAATGGCAATAGCCAATAATAACCACCATGTATAGGTACCAAGTATATCGGTCAAGTACACCAGTCATGAAAATGCAGCTGAATATTAATAAAATTTAGCAGAATTAGCTTATTTAGGCATGCGTGTTAATATAGTTGCTGCATCCGAGTTGGGTCCTAAATTTAAAATTGCTACACTAGTTGGTCCTGAATTATTTATAATTATTTTAGCTATACAACATTAGTTCTTGAATATTTTGTGGTAAGTACTACACTATATTAACATTTTCCTTCCCATTTTAATAGACTTAGGACTGTCTATAATCTATTTAGACCACAGGTATATTTAAAAATGTTTTTTACAGTTTTTTTTTTTTATTTTGTTTCTTTTCCATTATAATATAAGTTATTAATATTTTATAAAAAATCAACTTCACAAAATCACTTTTGTGTTGGTAAAAATGTATACGACATTAATTTTACAAAATCAAATCGATTATTCTTGCAATTTTTTTATTATATATTTTAATATTTTTAAAAAAACTGTAAAAAACATTTTTAACCATACTTGTGGTCTAAATAGATATCATAGACAGTCTGTTAAAATGGGAATGGAAATGTTATTTGCATATTGAATTGCAAATAAGTTTATATTTTATCATTAAAAAAAATAAATATATATTATATAATATTATAAATAATTTTAAATACATTCTTAATATATATTTAAATAAATATTTTGAATGATCCAGTCAATATGATGTGAAATATAGGTGGGTAATAATAAATAATAATGCATCTATACTCACCGTATATTTTTAAATTTAAAAAAAAATAGGTAGTAAATAAAATGTTATTAAATATTTTGATAATAATAATAATTGAAGTTGAATATTTAGAGTTATGAGAGTTGAAGAAAAACTTTTATAAATTTCGATCTAAGATAATTTGAACATTAGCCGTAATTTTTATATATTTAGTCAAAATTTGAACTGTAAATGCTTATAAAAAAAGTTTGTGATTATATATTTATTTTATTTTTYAACTGCTATTGTAGAAATATGTTAGGAGCCTTGTATTAAATTTTAAAATCTTAGATATAAAAGGAAAATACTTTATGAATTTCTAGTTTAAAATAATTTGCGAATTTTCGTGATTTTTACGTATTTTGTCAAAATTCAAACTTTGAATGCTTTTTAAAAAAAAATAAAGCATATATATTTCTTTTATTTTTCAACTGCTATTGTAAAAATATGAAAAGAGCCATGTATTAAATTTTCAAATCTTAGATCTAAAAAGAAAAACTTTTATGAATTTMTATCTAAGATAAWTTGAAAATTGCCGTAATTTTTACGTATTAAGTCAATATTTGAAATTCAAATGCTAATAAAAAAAAAATCTTGCCAATGTCTTTTTATAATTTTTTAATCACTATAAGAATAACTTATGAGGAACTTTGTATTAAATTTTCAAGTATTTTGATAGGGCAAAAAAAATTTTATCAACACTTCAAAAAAAAAATTTTCAGAAAAATTGAAAATTTCAGTTGTCTATAAATACCTCAAAAAAGTCTTTTCTTAGGGGTTTTTATTCCGGGATTCGATATAGAAATAAATTTCTAAAACGTCCTAGAGACGTCGACGCCTGTGACTTGTATAGAGCCTACATAAATTATTACTGTTATTACAGGTCGAGTTCTGTTACACAGAAACGATTTATAAATTAATGACACTGCGATTGATCATCGTAGGACGTAGATTAATATAATGTAAAACAAAATAATTTAAGCTATGTTTAAATGATTAAATGTATTTTATACATCTTGTTTATATATTGCTACGTATGGTCTGTTCAAGTTTTGGTCACGGTGACTAACTGCAGCTATCCATTGTATACCTACTCTTGCATACATAATAACACACAACACAATACGGACATATGGTACATATGCAGGCGTATGCAAGCGTTATAATATTGTGTCGGAAAAGTACGACTGACAAACGAACGCAATATTAATAAGGACAGCTGGGATCAGGGACGACTGCGTTTTGTGTTATTGTTTCCAACTTAAAATCCTAAATGTCAAATTTTGATTTAGGTACCGAAAAACGATCGAGATCACTGTTGAAAGAGTCACCGTCCCGTATATCCATCGAGTTCATTCAGTGTTGTGAAACGCATATTATATTATATACAATGTTATGTACCGAGATGAATTTTAAACGAATCGAACACTGTCAATATTTCTCATCGAATAGGTAGTAAAATAAACTGTGAGTATCTACCTACAAATTATAATATAGGTATACTCACGGCCACGAGAATAATTTGAAAATCTGTGGTAAGATAAAAATATATTATATAAAATAATATTTTATTTGTTTATATTATAATTTAAAATATATACGCATCGGTAGGTTAGTACAAGGGAATTATTTCCAGTGAATGCGTTTTCAATTTCACTAAAACTTCTAAAACAAAATAATAATTATCATATCCGTCGAAAACAAGTCTAGTACCTAATAAAGTAATAAACTTTGTTTAATTTTATATTATTTTTAAAAAATAGCAAGAACTAGTCTGATATTCGTTATATAATATGCCCTATATAGAACGCAATTATAATTAAAATATTAAACGAAAAATAAAAATTTTTTTATAGCATTTAACAATATTAAGTAAGTACCTCAATAAACATATTAATTTAATTATTTTATTGTTTATACCTATTTAGTATAAAATATAATATTACGCAGGTAGATAGGTACGTAAAATAACTTTCATGTGCTTATAAATAGGGATGAGAACTTATAGGAGCTAAAATAGACAAAATATGCATGCAAATATGCAAGGAAAAATTATGATATATGCATCAAAATTTGAAAATATGCAAAAAATATATTATAATATGCAATTCTTTCTATAAATAAAAAAACATGTTTACAATAAATTAATATAAATAATATTTCGTTAAATTTGATTCTATCAAAATATAAATAATTTTTAACTGTGTGATAAAAAATTAATACTAGGTATATAAATATGAGATAATAAATGATTGGTAGATGTATTGATTATATATTGATAGTCAGGTGATTTAATCTAAAAAAATAAAAATACAATTTTTAACCTAACCTAACCTGTAAATTTGTTACATTGAACCACCTAAGTTTTTTTAAATATTTTCGACATCCAATCTCCGACGATTATCCGAAAGAATATTTTTGTATCGCGAAAAACTTCTTTCCACATCAACTGATGAACTGAAGTTATACTTGAAGTAAATAAGGTCATTTCAGGTTAAGTTTTCTGGCAATTCGTCCATAGATGTGATTTATCCAATAAATGATACTAATCCTAAATTTACTTTTATATACTATAAGTATTATAAATGTTATTGGTTATTGACTACAAACTTATAAAATTCAATTAAATAATAAATAATTTTACTAAATATGCATTTTTATGCAAGAAAAACATGAATATGCAACTTTTAAGAAAACTATCAATATATGCAAAAATATGCAAAATTGAAATATCAAATTTCAATTCATTAGGTTATAGAACAGATTTTTAGCTCACCTAGTTATAAATAGGAGATATAGAAAAAAATATGCAAATCCTATAACTTCTCATCCCTAGACCCTAATACTATTATAACTAAACCAAGAAAATAGATTCTGAAATCACAAACCATAATACTATTTGATAAGATTTAAAATATTTATAAATATATTATAGGTACAAATTAAAATGCAATGAGCAGCGGCCTAAATCATTTGTTTAATAACACATATAGGTATTGAAATATTACATATTGTATTATTTTATTATATATTTTTCAGGTAATATAACTTAAAATTAAAACGGTTTTGTCCCCACTCTCCAAATAAGTTAAAAAGTCAACGAAATATTCAAGTTACCCAATCACCATAGGCGCCCGCAGGGGGGGCAAGCTGGGGCATTTGACCCTCTCCTGGCTTTTTCAAAATATTTTTTTAAATTGAATGTTTTAAGATAAATTGCTATATACTAAACAACAAATTTAAAGCATAAAATAAGTTGTAATGTAATAAAATATAATATATTGTATACGAGTATAATAAAAAAGGTTATTATTTTAAAACACCTAGTAAAATTATAATATTTATCCTCAAATCCTAACATTGCCTCCCCCTAGAAAAAATTTTGCGGGCGCCTATGCCAATCACACATAAATCAAAAATGGAATGTATGATTTTTTCATATTACAACTACATCAATTACGTTCTTGCCTTACAATACACTAATGTACACAATGCACCTATACCTATTATGACATAAGCACGTACGAAAAGTCATTAGTTATTATTATTTATCGTCATTGATCATAGTACCGACTCCGCATTTCCGGTTTGTAACTGAGAACTAAGATGAAAATAATAATAATATAATAAAATAGAAAAATGAAAAGCTTATAAACTATGATGAATAGTTGTTATACAATTATTGTAGGTACTCTTTCGATTTTAAAATAATAATTTTTTTTATTTTTCCTATAACCTATATATCTAATTAAACTCGAAATATTGTTGTTTTGAGTGATCTCACTGAGCTAGCTTTTATGCTGGAAAATCGTGTGTGTGACGTTGCTTATTGCACCAACTTTTTAATATATATATATTACTCGGTTCGAATTTTATAATTTATAGGACGAAATTCGGATATCATCTTACTATAATATATAGGTACTTATAATATTGATAATTCCATACCGATTGTATAGTATGACATAATCGATTAACATAAATATTATTTTATTATATAGGTGGTACTACATATCGTACAACAATAATTTTTAAAAAACGCTCGTGATCAAGTTGTGTGGAAAATTTGCATGCAAATCAACCTACCTGTGCAAGACCGTGCTAGCTGCAGCATCGATCGAGTCATCACAGATGTAACGGAATACGGTGAACACATTATTGGCGAGGATGAAAAAAAAAATACATAGGTACCTGCGGCTATACAATAATATGTTTATCGATAAACCGGAATCAATAATAATTAGTACACGGCCTTCAACTTTCAAGGGTTTTCGTCTTTGAATTTATCGTTCACGAGTCCAATCCTCGAGTTATAGAGGAGGTATTATATACATCGTAATAAATGGGTATATATTATTGTTATAACATTCTACTAAATTTATGCGTACGATTGTAATAATAATTATGCTTCGTTTTGATCCAATGCGTACCATACGCAGAGGTCGCAATCGTAGTCGCATTGTTACATTCATGAGCGCAAGACTTTAACGCAACCAGTGACTTTACGTAATATAATATTCTATAGCTATAATACGACAATACGTACCTATAATATATTGTACCTGTTAACAATAATATTATTATATTAAAGTACCTACCAAGTATAGAGCCGTATAGGTAATAATAGGTATAATATTGTATTATTATTCGAGTTCAAAGACATTGTATAATAATCATTATTTTTACATATATTATATTTCAACCAGACGAGCGAAGACGACGTCCGCCATATTATTATTATGTTAAAATAAACCACTGTGTGACCAACCACATCGATTAGATATAGGCAATGCCCATTGACCTGACCTATAGGCCACCAAGCGTTTCCGACCAATTTTTTATTTTAATATGATTAAATTTAATTGTTATAAACGCGTCTTATTAACCTAATAGTTAAATCGACCAATCAATTTTAATATATATTGTTTAATGTACAAGGCTGCACGTCGATTGTATACAAATATAATATAAATATGATATTATATTTATTAACATCTGTTAGACTGAAATAATGCGTGGGTGCCTATACTCTTCATTTAAATTTAATTATGATTGAACTTTGACAAACGATTATTAAAATGTTAATGCTGCGTAGCGGTTCATATAAATACGAGTCTATTTATCTGTATTATATTATATATGTCTGGAACCGAATTAACTTTTTACGCGACATTTGAAACAAAACTAAATCGCTGCCAGATTTTTATGCTATATTAATAGAAAAAATGAAACGGGAACGTCATATTTAATATTTTACGAGACGAAGTATAACAATAATAATTGAGGTTTGATTGAACGCCACATCTAATAATATAAATGTTTAAAAATCCGTAACTTGTTTCAAGGGTGTACAAAAGAAAACCGTTAAAATTTATGTTTTTTAGTTGAATATTATTTTGATTTATCGTTATTTTAACGGTAATAATAATAAATAACCATATATACATTAAATATATTACACGTCAAAAAACGTAATTCAACGACAAATATTTCATAAGCCACCGAATTTGTTTTGTTGTCGGACATCATTATTTGGGATTATATTTTATTGTATAGGTATAAAATGAATGTCATAAAATAGTATGAATAATATGGATATTTTTCATATTATTAATTAATTTAAATTTTAAACACTGCTGTAGTTTGAATTAGTTGTACCTATATGACTTTATTGTTATAGGAGCTATAGTATGCAAATCATTGTTATTATTTTATAAATGTTTTATCGGCACTATGAAATTAATTCGCAAAACAAAATCAAGAATGCAAAACCTCAGTGGCGTAT